AAGTGATAAGTGAAAGTGGTGTAAATTTAGTGAAGGAGTCTGGAAAGTGAAAAGTGAAAGTGGTGTAAATTTAGTGGAGTCTGGAAACCGGCTTGAGAAAGTGAGTGGTGTGAATTTAGTGAGGCCGTCTGGACAAGCTTGATAATGCAGCAAAACACTCCATCCCCGAGGACTGAGAATCCCCGAATGTGTTTCCCTTTTCCTTGCTCGAGGGATGTTGCATTGTTGATAATATTTTCTTTACATCTTTATGTGTTATGTTGTCTGCGGTGTCACTTGGCCCAAGGTCGAGTATTCCCAGCGCTAACTCAAGAGTGTCGTCGTTGCATACGGAGTTAGCGGCTAGGAATTGATAGTGATACTACCTTCAATAGAGCTAAATCGATATTCGACGTTAATAGCTCATCAGTGCAAATCAGAAGCAATAGACATAACGCTCCGTCCGGAACACGACTCGCCTACCTGTGGTGTAATCAGCGGGTGCTTTTCTGTTGAGCTCTTCGTGACGTTCTTGCATCTCGAGTATATCAGCTTCAAGCTGGAGAGAAAACAAGTGACCAAATGGAATCTTCCACACGCTTACCTGCCTAACTTCTCGTTCTAACCTTTTTACTCTACTTACAGGTTTTACCCCATTTTCCGGCAAAATTTCAGAGAGATCCGGACCAGCTAGAACCTGTGATGACCAGTATCAGAGAATATGCACATGGTCAACTACACTATTATCTCAGGAAATTCTTGTTGGTTTTTGTACACTTCTATAAATAGTGATGAAACGCCTAAGCCCAGCTAATGCAAGTGAACACATATTTCAACACTAGTTCTGACACTGACTATGAGAAGGCATCATATACTGCCTATTCTACAAGGAACTTAGTTCAGTGAAGATTACCCAGTATTTGCGACCAACCAGAATCAGTTTTGGCACAATTTTCCACCGATTGGCAGGATTCATGTGGAAGTTCATATGTTGATCAACGGACTCATCATCGCTCGAATCGGACATTTGATGAGCAGTTTAAAGACTTGACTGATGGCAACTACCGCATTTTAGTGTTGGATTCACGGGTTTAGAGTCCAAGTTCGGAGCCTGAGTCTGAGACCGATCCACTCGGAACCCTCTAATCCCCGTGGATAGATAAAGGGTAACGAGTGATAGAGAAGAGTGTGTGACGACACAACTCGTTTCTATGATAGAAACAGTGTCCATCGAGTAGCTAACTATACAGAGAGTACTAAGGAATCGTTCGACAATGTCTCTTAGCGGCATCAGAAAAATAATGGTACTTGGTGGACGTAGAGCCGCTCTACTAGAGCGCCAACCGCCTATTTCATCAATAGTGTCGCTTGGGAAGTGCGACAACGCTAAATCGGTAATAACACCACGTCGGAACCCATGTGACGAGAAGTGAAAGAATCGGTGCAGACCAGCTCTTTTTGCACATCGTTTGAGTGCTATATTGAACGAAGCTAATGACATGATAGATTCTTTGGTTGACAGCACATACTTGGCTGCTTCCACAGGACATAGCTGGGGACCAAAGGTTGTGCAAGTGCAAGCTCGCGTCAGAACTACTGAGTTGGGTGAATTTTTTCGTTGGCGCAGATATAGAGTAACCGTCGTTTCACTCGGAAGGATCATGTGATTGCGAGAGTCCAGTAGTTCAGACCCAACACGCAAGCTGAAGCAATATGCTAAGACGCAGAGAGACCGGAGAAGGAGGAGACCGTCCTGCGTCGCTTGAGTCAAGCGGCTTGACGAACAAGGCTCCTGAGGGCGGATAGAGAGATGAACGATCTATCCCGACGAGACGAACTTGAAAGTTTGCGGCACCCAGACCTCATAATCTTCGTCAGTGGATCGTCGAAGAGCACGGGTAGTGATAAGAGTTCGTGTAGCTTGCGTAAAGCCGGTATA